TTTCGGCGTAAGCGGCCGTATCTTTTTTTACGCAAACTTAGAAGTTTGTTGTATCCTAACTTCAAGGAACTGTAGACCTCAGTTTTTAATTTCAACTCGATACCTCCACGCTTTTCCGAGATCAGGTTCTTGATATACAGACGGATAGACAGACAGAGGCTATGAAAGTGATCCTATAAGGGTTTCGTTGTTTCCTTTTGAGGTACGGAACCCTATAAACAATCTTCCGTTCAGGTAGGACAAGGTCTATCACTAGCCTATTTAATTGAAGTATACGTAAATATGTAAGTATTTCAGTGGTTGATATTTTATTATCTTCTTCGTTCATTCATTTCCATATTTTGCTTAATAGAGGTGGTGTTTCGTAACTTACATAACACCACGTACATTTTTGGTAGATTTGTTATCGCAGCTCATCAGTTTATGAATGTGTAAGGCTACAAACCTAGTTGCTACCTTATAACGCGTTATAATATATATATATATATATATATATATATATAAACAATTGCTTATATATATAAACGGTTGCTTGATATTCGTGTTCTATCTTATACTATTTGTAGTGAAAAGGGATTACGTAACCAAACGAGGCTAAGGGAATTATTCCTAAAGCTTAAGTCCCAAATTAACCGTGTTCAAATAATTTTTGGTTGAGTAAATATCTCGATGTATTTACTTATTTCATTAAAGAAAAATCTCCAACTTCTAATTAGACAAAATGATGTTATAAAATTAATTTACATATTTTATTTAACACTTATTGAAAATAAAGATTCAAGAAGCCGTCGTTGTAGCACTATTTTATAGATATCTAAGTTTTGTTTGCGGTTTCACTTTCGTACTTTCAATCCCTCGAAAAAAAAAAATCTTTTTTAACCGACTTTAAAAACATAAAAGAGGAGGTTCTCAATTCGACTGTATTTTTTGTGCGTTTGTTACGTCTTGATATCTCCGTCAATTGTAGACCGATTTTCAAAATTATTTTTGTAACCGAAAGGGTATACTCCCGAGGTGGTCAAGCAAGATCTCATGATGGAACCCTAGAGAAATAGAGTAAAACCCTCAAATTTTACAGCCCCGACAACGTATCTGGGGTTTTGGGTATTTGCGTTTAGTAGTCGTTGTGTCATACCTCCTTTCTAAGGAGAGGCCTATGACCAGCAGTGGACTGTTAAAGGCTGTTGATGATGTGTCATGCTGCTGAGCTGATGATGGTATGAACCTTGTATGTAACCACAAAACTCTTTATGGAAAACAATATATTATCGGGTGCAAATGTATCATCTTACTACCTTATCTAAATGAAGTATCGGACTTATTAAACTAAAATTAATATAATCTAACCTACTACAGTTTGATAATATACATTACAGAACGTAGTGTTTAAAATATCGTAGTAATCTACTCTTTACAAACATGTTCTACACTAAAAATAGTGAAATAAATCTTTTTTTTTTAAACTACATTTGAAGTCGTTTAAAAAAAATACACTAACAAAAAGCACTTAAAATAATACATTGCTGCCATCTAAACGGAAGTTCATTTCTTGTGAAGTTAACGGTTTCTCGTGCAGTGTAAGGTCTTGCGTTATCATAGAGAAATAATATTGAAGATCGATTCACGAGTCAGGGCTGTTTCACTGCCAGTTACGCCATCGTTGTTCAAAGTTCGGCACAGTAAACATCTGCTGTTATTGCTTGACCAGACCTGAGGAAGCTATAGTGAATAACACCATGAAGAGACTACCAAACAGTTACCATTACCTTTTTATTGCCAAGCTTTGCTTTAGGACACTGTTGCGGCATTTGACCAGGGGTCAGCCATTGCATTTTTCACTTACAATTATCGTTAACAAGCCACTTTTCGTCACATGTCACAATTCGATCCAATATTCCTTCATTTCTGTACCGATTGAACAAGGCAACACAAGTTTCAATACGCATTTCTTTCTGCAGATCAGTCAAATCATGAGGCACCCATTTTTCATATTTTTTATCCTATTTATTTGATGCAAATGAGTCAATATTGTAGGTAGGATTACTTTAAACCATGTCACTAATTCCTGGGTAGTTTGGTTCGGATCGTCTTAAACCATCTCCTTCAATACAGCGTTTATTTACTAGTGCGGGCGGTCTGTCACGTGATTCGTTCTTCGAGTCGAAGTTTTCATTACTAATGCGTTTAAACTAAAAACGCACATTGCTTTCATTAGCAGTCTCCTCTTTTTCTGATGCGTTAGATCCGCGTCGGCACTCGTATTCGATTTTCGAAGTATCCATCTTTCACGTCTAAACTGAAAAAAAAACATTGAATGTCGAAAATCGAATGTTGCATATTTTTTTAAAGAAGAAACTCATAGGTATCATGTGAAAAAGTTTCACACGAAAATCTCACACCATGAAGGTTTTAACATATATCAATTCAAAGTATCTATTACTATACAACGGCAATTTCATACTTTAACCCCTATAATTTGTTAGGGGTTTATGTTGGTTTACATAGAAATGTACACAAGAGAGTAAATAAATAAGGTATCAAAACATTTAGAGAAAAATAAATATTTGTTATACAATTATTTGCATGTATGTAACCTAATACCTCTTTCATTTGTACACCGATTTGGTAAGTTCTTCTTTTATTTTAAGGGTATATTTCCCTTTTCGTTACATTCAAATGTGAAGAAAAAATGACACTCCTAGTAGTGGAAAATTTAGTAATGTGGAAAACAATATATTTTGGGTTCAAATGTAACATCTTACTACCTTATCGAAATAAAGTAACGGACTTATTAAACGAAAATTAATATAATCTCACACACTACAGTTTGATAATATATGTGAGGTACAGTACGTCGTGTTTTACACACATATAACTTTTTTTTTAAAGGTCTACTATCAACCGAAATCGCTAGAATAACTAGAAGTTAACCCCTCCCGCTAAGCCAAAATGCATGTAGCAAGCAAAATGAGTGGGTTCACGTCGGTAGTGTACTGGTTAGGATTTGAACCCACGACCTCTTGATCATAATGAAGTTAAACGCCTTAACATAGTTTTAAAAGTTCTAAATGGAAAGGAAAGCAATTTTAATTATCTATATGAGTAGGTAATTCATTTGATTCGATATTCTGAATCTCTGCAGCTTATGTGATTTTTATTTTTCATGTCAGTTTCATTTCATACCTAATTTTAACAAATACCGATCGTCATCCTGTCGTTGATGAATGTGAGAACAAAAGGATTATTTTTAAATGTTTAATAATGTAGAATATACATTTATATCTAAATATAGTCAAAACAACTATTTCTAAAATGAAGACTAGTTTTTTTTACTATGCAATAATCAAACACTGATTTGGAAAATTAGTGTTTACATAATAAACATAAAGACCATGATTTCAACGGAAGACAAAATCTAGGCTTAGCTGTCATTAGCTCTAAAGCTTTTAGTCGATGCTATGGTTTGTACCTTGGTATCAAGCTATAAGTAAGTTTAATTTAATTAAGTATTATTTTTAGTTTGTTTGTTTTTAAAAATTGTATGTGTTTTCAATCTTTCCACAATTTTTTTCTCTGCTTTAAGTAGGTCCTATACGTTTGCCAGTAACGTCTTTTTGAATCTGGGGCACGGGAGTACCCCCGCCAAGACGAGCTAAGCAAAGAGCAATGGCACTGGCTACCCTTTCTCCAAGCGCTTCGTCGTTTTGTGAACCCTCATAACTTGGATTTGGATTAAGTATACCAGATAAAAAAAAAAACCCGGGATATGATGTCAATAGTTGACAACATATAAAATTTCAATTACATAGGTCTTATAATTTAGATTTTGTTCATTTCTAATTAAGTTGGTATGTATGTGTAAACAACAAAAAATTCTAAAATTTGGAACTTACCCCAGCTACTATTTTACTAGGGGACTTTCAATTAGGCAAATACTATCTTTACCTACCTAACTACCGATACTCATCGTTTTGACAAACCTTGTACATTTTTAGTCGAGATTGTTTTGTTGGTCTATCAATGAAGTTGACTCACCATTAGTAGGTATTAATTACACATATATAGTAGATGGTACAGAATTGGGCGGGATCTACTACCTATTAGCCTATTATATATTGAAGCCGATAAAAATATTCAGAATAAAAATAAAAACAATACAAAAATGGTTATTTCCGGAAAGAAATGTAAATGGTTGTCTGTAAAGGCCAGGGCTATTTAACAAAAAAACATTAAAACATTTTCAGTTTAAATTAATTTTGCGAGTTTTCATTTATATTGCCTAGTTTTAACTCAACTATTTGGAACTATCGTAAAAATATTTGAAATAACTATAAAAAGAAACTACATTAGAGTCATCTATTTAACAAAGCTTTGTACTTTGTAAAACGGATGACTCTAATGTAGTTTCTTTCAACTTTAATGTCTTTCGACGTGTCATAAGTTGTACAGAAAATGTAGAGATGGCGCTAGCACCAACACATTTAAAGATGTAAAAATTAAAATTATTTCTAAAACTTGCCAAAACATGAATAATACTTCGAATAATTTTAATAGGACCTACCACTAATATTGAAATTTTGAACTGTTTATTTATAAAGCAACATTTTAATTGTGACAATGCTAAAATATTTCATGTTATTATAGTATTGTCTCTTTTTTGCAAAGTTGTGATTATATGTGTTAAAATGTGACAAAGCTCTTACTTATGCTACTCTGTTGATGATGTTTGTAGCGATCACTTGTGACTGTGTGTGACCGTAAGCGTCAAAATCGTCAAACTAATCTGTCATCATTCGTCAGGTCTTCGATGACGATTTGGTCGTGTTTGTAAATTTAAAGTTTTAAAATTATCGTGTATATTTAATATAAACGGGACCGTGTACAATAATGCATTACCGACTGTGACACGCACCTGAAGTTTCGTCCGTTCAACACTCGCCAAAGTGTCTGACAGTAAAATGTCTTTTGTGAGCATAAAAAAGCAATATTTAGCAATCGGAATGTTAATATTCGTTATATTATTTTTATTTAATAGTAGGCCAGCTTTTCAATGTCAGTTCAATCCCGAAAGCAATACATATCTTCCTACAATTTATGGGATAACACCGACGTACCCGAGATTGGCTCAAAAAGCGGATCTGACGAGGTAAGGATCGTGAGGTTCCTGCCCTTGGTTCATAGTTATATTACCTCATTTATTTGAATAAAGTATTTGGCAATGATTATAAGCTGAGCCGGCAATTATTTTAATTGATTAATTGATGGGGTTTGCACAATATATATGTTTGCTGAACATTATGTTTGTATTGGTTGACCAGGTTTCAGATTCAGTATTAAAACAAATAATATAATAATCATTTTAATTGATTAATTGATGGGGTTTGCACAATGTATATGTTTGCTAAACATTATGTTTGTATTGGTTGACCAGGTTTCAGATTCAGTATTAACACATATTATTTGTTTTAAAATTACCAGTTTTGTAGTGTGTATGCTTTAACCAATTTGTGGATTTAGTTTCTTTATGATAATATATTTTTAGCATAATAACTATTAGAAAATGATATAAATATTTAAGAAAAAACTTTTCTTTTTTTGCTAAAAATATGGTATTATTAACTATTTTTATAAAATAAAAGAAATTATTAATTAAGATCCATCTATGCTATATTCATTATATTTTTATAAATTGTATTAAATTTATTTATATATATTAACTAACTTCAAAAACACAGGAGAGGAGGTCATCAATCCGATCGATTTGTTACATCTGTTTCTAAATCCAGGTCTCAATTATTAAAATTTATAAAAGGATTTTAAAGCTCTCAAGTGTGTATCCTTTCTATAAGAATTTATTCTTTATATAAAAATGAGGAGTCAATACTATTTACTTTTGTTGTAACTATGTCTCAGCAATTTTTGTTAAAAAATTAAATGTTTTTTGGTTTACAGGTTATCACAAACATTGATGCTTGTAAAAAACTTCCATTGGGTAGTTATAGAAGATTCTGATGAAAAAACAAAGTTAGTTGCAAACTTGCTCAAGGATTCAAACCTCAAATACACACACCTGCATATAAAAACTCACAAGTCGAAACATTCTACGGTAAGTATTTCATATAATTTTAATGGTATACTTAGTTACCGGTTACTACACATTTGCAATAAATTGTATTTAAGGTTTTTTGATAAATATTTATTGTTCTGTTCAGTAGTAAATTAATTCCGAATATACGCTAACTTTATCATTAAAAATTTCATTGCTTGTTGTAAAATTGTATTTAAGGTGTTTTCGGAATATTTAAACACACATTAAAAATAATTAAAAATACATTAAAAATTTCATAGCTTTTCATTTAGCCATAAGCCAATAAAGTATTCGAAGAAATTTAATTGTTGAAATAAATAAATAGATGTATACAAAACTGCTTAAATATTTGCCTTGAATTAAAAAAAATAGTTTTATGTAATGTAAATAATGAAATTTTGAAATGTATTAAAAATCGTAAGTCAGTATGGTATCTCTAAAATACATACATGAGTAAAACTTTATCTTTTACAAACTTTTGTACTGAATGCAAAACTAACTCATTCGTTTTTTCCATTTTGTATTTGAAGTATTAGAATAAATTCTTAAATTAGTAGTTGAATTCAAAAGCTCTTTAGATATGAGCTATTAATTGTTTATTCTTGTTAGATATGGTGTAATATCATATATCATTATATGATTAGTAATTACTATAGTACTCAACAAGAAAAGAAATTATCATTTTTTAATTGATAAAAATAATATCTGTGATCCTGTGATAAGCTATAATAGACAGATACATGCAATAGTATAGTATGAAACAGACCACAATAACAAATACTTTTTGAAATAAAAAACAGAACATAAAATTAACATATTTTAACATCTGAGTATCTGAAAATCCAAAAAACAGTCATTGTATTCTGATTTCTAAAGAATTATTAAATAATAAGAACTATTTTACTAAAGAAACTTATGTTCCTATTTAATAAAACCAAAAAAAAATTGTTAGCAAATCATTTTCACTTATAGAATTATTAAATTCTAAGTAATTTCTTTAGGCTTCACCTAGTTTGATTATTACCTGTATGCAAAACTGTAAGTTTTTTTTAAGAGAATAACAACATTAATTTTAATTAAAATTAATACTCAAATATTCAATAAAGTAGTTGAATTAAATCTGTTATAAGTATTTTGGAATATTCATTAGTAGAAATAAAAATAAGCCAGTTGTGAAGCTTGCCTTTTGCATAGGTTTTAGGGAGAAGAACAGGCAAAAAAAATTACAGATATTTTAGTAATTACTTATAACTAAATGTTCTTAAATTTACTGAATGTAGTAATACTAAAGTATGCACTGCCCAGACCAGGTTTTAGTTTTTAATATATTATTATATGTTTTTTAATATATTGCAGCTCTTGGACATCAATATCTGTGTATTTCACACAGCTTTATACAACACATCTTGGTATTGTGTACGTTTGCCAGTTAAGATTATTTTCAAGGGAATTGGATAGCTTGCATTTTATTTAGTTACAGTTATGTCAAACAGACTAAAAATGTAGGGTATATGAACATACTTGCCTTAATAATGTTACAGTATATATGAAAAAGTAGGATACCTTTATAGTAAAGGTGTGTGGCACATGCAGTGTATAGGAACATACTTGTCTCAGCATAACAATATGGGCATTTAATTCTAAATTTTGGGTTGTTGATTACAAGTTTCCATTTATGAGTTATTTTATTTAAATATCCCTTAATTCGGTGTGCGTTTTGGCCTGTCTCCTGAAATTTTCTACTCTTGACTCTATCAGCTTCAACCCTTGTTAAATATGGTCCCAGGGTCAGTCAGTTTTCATTCTTCTAATCCTAATAACAAAGTAAATTAACAACATGTATAATTAATGTTGTGCATTAACATTAATTATATTACATGTTGTGCATCACTGTTTTTTGGAGCCATCTGTTGGGTATCATAGCATGACATTGCCAAATAAAGTAATGGAGCAAATAGGCCACTCTGTGGTACCCAAGGGATGCCCCAGAATAATACAATATTTATATTTTTTAAATATCTTATTAAAATATAATATTACATATCTGCAAAATTTAATTTCCTGTTTTCAATACACTAGTATTTGTATGGGTGTGAGCTATGTGTATAACTTACAGTTGTATCCCTTTTTTTTCTGTACGAAAATCCCTTCGGATGCAACCCACCGGTTGGGTCTGCAAAGGTGACAGATGCTCCTCACTTGTTACTCCCAGGCCTGCACTTAATAAGGACGGAGGTCGTTCGGCGCCCTCCGGCGCCTGAGTCGTCTGCGGTAGTTGGCCCGTTCCTTGAACCTTCCGGACCGGGAGAGTTCTAAACCGCTCCCGGTCTTGCTTAGCCGTCTCCTTCGCGAGCATAACATTGGAATAAAAAAATTACAAGGCTTTGATAAACTGTCAAATCTTTGTAAAAAAAAAAATACTCAAACATTCACATCATCATCAACAGCCTTTGATAGTCCACTGTTGGACATAGGCCTCTCCTTAGAAAAGAGGTTTTGGCCTACTATACCACGCTGACCAGACGGATTGGTATAGGGTTTGTTTCAAGTGTTCCATCTCTTTGCAGTGCTGTTGTCCTGCAGAGTTTGCTCCCTTAGTTGGCTCTTACGACACTCTTGGGAAGAATAGGGGTGGTGACATGTATTCTTAATTCGTCACCACACGAGCAAACATTAACAAAGTAAATACATTAATTAGATTACATTTACACATTTTAGCTTTTTAAAATTTCTAAGTATGTATCAAAAATAAATAGCAAGTCAAGTAAATACGACAAGCGTTGATTGTAAGTGCCGGTTCCTTACGCATTTCATACATTACATTAAATATTTTAAAGAACCCGTAACACTTTCTAAACATTAATGTATTACATTAATAAATGTTAACCATACTTGCATTATATGGGTAATTAATTAGAATATTAATAAGAAGCAGGAAGGTCTTTTAGCTGCTGACGTATTTTAAAATCGATAAAGAAAATATGTGTAGTAAACTATACTATACACAAAGTGCAATAAATAGCACAGTATCAAATAGACACAATGATAAATTAATTAAATAAATAATGAAAGACAGAGTATTAAATTTACTTATTTTTGATAACTGAGGATGTGGAGATTCCAAACGGTTATTGTAAGCTGATTTATTTTTCTCAAAGAAACTTAAATTTTTGAAGTGAAAACTTGTTTAGGAGCGTTGGGCATTTTTGATCAACAAACAAAAGAATGTATTTTGTGGTTTAACAAAAAAACTCATTTTTTGAAATGAAAAACACCATGGAACTCGCAATACTGTTACCGTTACCGACACACCCGTTGAAGTGAACCTTCATTAGGCGCGTTGGACTTTTTTTGAAATGGGAAAAAATTATTCAACTCGCGACACTTGCCATTACCGACACCTCTGTATATAAGTTTTCAGTTCTGTCGGCACTCCCGGAGTGTTTTTTTTATTGTATAACTGTTCATGGTCCCCTCAAGAAGTGTTTTCTCTCTTTTCTATTGGAAATCTAGACTTTTTTCGAAATTAGTTTTACAAAATGAGCTTAAAAAAGAAAACAAAACCAACACGCTCATTTAAGAAAAAAATATTAGCCGCTTATGTAATTTTTATGAGTTCACCTCTACGGACAGCAGACCAAATTTCAATTCCTTTTTATTACTACAAGTACTTATAATTTCTTTCAGATGATAGTTGATCACAGTCGTCCCAAGAAATTCTACTTTGTTCCTAGGGTATGTTAGTCCACAGCAATTTATCTTAATTAAACGTTACTTTGTTGCAAGTAGTTATGTGTCACAATACTGTAAAATCGTAGACTAATAAATAATTGAATAAATATATAGAATAAATAATAAAAACATAGTGTTATAAATTTTGATAGCACTGTTGTGTAGTTACATAGGTGTCGAGTTATATTACTAAAATTGATAAAAAATCAGTAGTTAAGTCGTTTCAATAACTTGGTGCTCGCAATTGGTAATGAAAGTAAATAATGAAGTGGCCTACGATGGCCGGACCGTGAACACGGCGCTCCACACGCTGGGAGTATGCCCGGCGTAGGTGGAGCAAAGGCGTGGTCTCGAGGCGGCCATGGGAGTGGGAATTCTTTATTTCTTATAATTCGCTACGGAACTCGCACGCCCTTCGGGGGCAGGAAGGGAACATCGGGGATCCCACACAGGAGGGTGTCATCTATAAGCCGTAGATGGCTCGAGGTACGTCGGGGTACCAGGGCTTTCTTTTCTAGGGTAGGCCTGGTTCCCCGGCTACTGGTGCCTGGAGACGGCGTGCGGTTTTTAGTCGGTTCGAGTCCGACATAATCACCCCACTGTAGGGTGATATCCGAGGGGAGTTCAGCACAGAAAAAAAAGGCTGCAACACAGTTATACTCGTAGGTCTCGGAGAAGTTGATAAAAACGAGAATCTCTACTTGCCTTTCCTTCACTGAGCCCTCTCAGTCCTATGAGGAAACTATGTGGCTCTCAACTATGATAATTTTTATCCAAAGGAAAAAAATTAAAATAGAAATTTACCGTAGAAGTATTAAGAACATTTTTTTGGGTTTCACCTTTTTTTGTCTTTTTTTTCTGTGCGGAAATCCCCTCGGATACCAATTACCAACTCAATGTCGAACTCGAACCGACCAAAACCGCACGCCGTCTCAGGTACCAGTAATCCCTGGTGCCCCGACGTTGTAGGGTTTCACCTAGATTGAGGATAAATTATACCAAAAACCAAAGTTCTATTCTCCGCTTTTAATATATCAAGTACGGCATACTAAAAACGAAGTGTTATGCAAAACCGAAACGAATTATTATCTCACTTTAAACCTTGATGTTAAACAATATTTTAAATTAACGTGTTTAACTAAAATCCTGTCAAGGTCAATCCCTATCGTCAGCGGTAGTGAAATACATTATAATGTGACATTCATACTTAACGGTACATATTATCTTTTATATATAATAATATATATAAGATAATTTGATTCTTGAGAAAGGACATAGGCTACTTTTTACCGCCATAATGACATACATTGCTTTTTACTGCGATAACGACATTCACGCGGACGGAACCGCGGTCAAAAGCATGTATATAGCTACCTACAAATAATTTTGACATATGTGTTTAGTATTCCAGTTCAAATCTAGGCGGCACGGGAGTGACATGAGAGAGAGAGAGAGGGAGTAGGGGCAATGCCTACTGCGACAGGTCATGCAGCTGATCCGGACTGGATCTGTTGCATGTCTGCTGATGTGTCTTAAACTGATAATTCCGACAGTGGCATTTTCAAATACTGCACAAGTGTCCATCTTCTTCATATTTCTATACCTCGCAAGTTTAAAATAGAAACCTTTGCTTAAAAATTTAATAATTTAAAGTTAAAGCAGCCTAGGTTTGCGGTTACTACATTATCTCTGTTGATTAGTTTTGGCAATTTCCGACGTAGTGTTATGTTAGTTTTTACGTACATCCCGAGGATGTTTAAAAATGGATCGAAATATATCCGCCAGCATTTTTACACAAGTCACGTTTATATGTATACAACGATATGTATGCACACAGGATAGGTATGTTCCTATACAAAACAAGTAGTGTTCACCATATCCTTCGTGTGCAATTATGTAATATTTTTTTAAATATTTGCAAAATTAGTTAAAAACAAAATTAGATACGAAATAGAGTTATTTCGTATCTAATTTTGTTTTTAACTAATTTTCTTAACGAAAATAGTTACTAAATAAATTGCAAGTTCTTATCGTTGTTAACTTACTTAGAACATATTTCTTACATATTAGTCTTACTTTATGTACCATTAAAAATAATCACACAGTAGTAATAAATGTTATTTAATATTAATATTTCCTGTTTTAATGTATGTTGTGTCTATTTAGTTTTTCTATGAATAGTCGAATATGGTCCAGCTACATTTGTTATATTTCCAATCACAATGGTCTGATGATATTATCTAGACATAGTTATCTTATCTTTCTACAATCTACCGTTTTGTTACCAAATAGAGTAGACAGTTGGTATTGACTTGTGATGATGATTGATGTTTGTCTTTATAATGATTTAACTAGTGGTTAAACCTAGTTGAAGCTTGACTGCACGGATGGCGTAGTGCTTTAAACGGTCGCTATGCCGCTTCCTACTACTCTGAGGCTTTGTATCCACAAATTGTCGTTCTGAGTCTTTTTTGTGTCCGTTTCATGAATGTTGGTAAAGTCCCCCGCGACACAGGAGCAGAGTTCCTAGAGCAGGAGTTGTCTTTGAAAAAAGCTTTCTCGACTTTACTTTGTCTTTTCTATCTATCATATTATTATTATATTATTATATATCATATTCTAGCATAATATAATCTTGGAAACTCTGAATTTTAGAATTTACCATTGCGTACCATCTTAACAGGTTTTAAATATCATAGTTCCTTAGCTATTTAAGTTAAATCAAAGCATCAGGAAAATGTTTGAATATCAGGCAATAACTAATGTAAAAAGAATAACTATCTGTTTCCTAGTGTAAACCTTTTTTTTTTTTTTTTAACGTGTGGAAATCCCCTCGGACCGTCACCCCTCCGGGGTTTGCGGCGGGGTGGTGTGTCGGACTCGGACCGACTAAAACCACACGGTGTGCCACTCTGCGCCTGTAACAGGAGGGATCCGGGAACAGCTGTTGTTAAGACATCCGGACCCCTCCTAGCGCCAGCCTGCTCCTGGTGCGGGCTCCGTCTCAATGTTGTTGTTGTTCCTCTCTTTAGGCGACGTCCGGCACACGCGGACGCCGCCCCCTCGCGGCTGGCCAACTAATGCGGGTGGAGGGGAAACCCACCCCGTCCACCCGCGGCCACACTCAGGGCGGCATGAGGCTGTGGTAGGCGGGCCTCCGCCGCCCGGTTCGCCGGCGGCGGATCGGGTCCGAGTGGAGGTCGTCCTCCCGGGCCCTCTCCGCCGCCTCCTTCCGCGAGATTACTACCTCGCAGAAGGTTGCGACCGCGGTAAAACAACTGTCGCTACCGGCCATGGAGCGTACTACGGCCGGTAGCGAGAGATCCACTCCGATGACTGCAGTGAGGGCCCGGCGCTGCGCCGCCCATGCGGGGCAGACCGCCAGCGTGTGCTGGGCCGAGTCCTCACTGCAGTCGCAGTGGTGGCAGGCGGGACTCAGTTCCCTCCTAGCGACCGTGTGCAGGTACTTTCCGAAGCAACCGTGCCCGGAAAGCACCTGCGTCAGTCGGAAGGAAAGGGTCCCGTGCTGCCGCCCTGCCCACTCGGCGATGACCGGCTGGAGAGCCTCCACGGCGGCGAAGCCAGCGCGTGGAGTCTCCAGCCGGAACGACCAACGAGCCATCGTGGCTCGGCGAGCGGCTTCGCGCCACTCGCGCACATCCTCGGGCGGAGGGCGAAATCCGCTCTCCGCCCGGTAGTCAGCCACTCGCCGATAAACTTCGGCGAGCACTTCCGCCTCCAAATCCCACGGGGGAGTTCCGGCCAATGCGCATGCCACCTCCGTCGAAACGGTGCGGTAACCGCGTATGGCTCTGACCGCCATTACCCTCTGAGGGCGCCAGAGGCGTACCCTATTCTGGGCGGTCAGAGCCGCCGCCCACACCGGTGCACCGTACAGTGCCATTGACCGGACAACCCCCGTGTACAGCCGTCTTGTCGCGACGCTGGGTCCACCCATATTGGGCAAGAGTCGCCCTAGGGCAGACGCAGCGCCGACCAGCTTTGGAGCAAGCTGTCGGAAGTGCTCGTCGAAGAGCCACCTCCCGTCGAGGATCAGGCCCAGATATTTCATCTGGGCCCGAACCGGTACGAGGACCGAGTTGACCACGATTGAGGCGCCAGGGGGTGGACCACGACGGGGCCCATGGAATAACAGGGCCTCCGTCTTATCTAGGGCCACCCGTAAGCCCAGCGCCTCAATGCGCCCGACCACCAGGGAGACTCCCCCTGTGGCCAGGCGCGCCGCCTCTTGGAAGTTTGCCCCCCGGGCTGTCACGAGGGTATCGTCTGCGTAACAGATTACACCCAGCCCGGGGGGGAAATCGGCGCGAAGGGCCCAGTCGTACCCTATGTTCCACAAGAGGGGTCCAAGAACAGACCCCTGTGGAACACCGCACGACATGGGCCGACTCCTCAAATTACCTTCTCGGTCCTCGTACACGACGGTACGCTCCTCTAAATAGTCTGCCACCAGCCGCCTCAGGTACTTTGGCACCCCATGATAGTGGAGTGCTTCCCTGATGCAGCTGAATGGCAGACTATTGAATGCGTTGGCGATGTCCAATGACACCGCCAACAGCACGCCGCCACAGCTCACGGCCTCTTCGGTCACGGCCCTCAGGCGCAACACAGCGTCGACTGTCGAACGCCCCGCCCGAAAACCAAATTGGGCGTCCGACAGATCGGGGCCCACCTCGCAGAGGTGCCGGACGATGCGGGCAGAAAGAACCCTCTCAAACAATTTGCCCGCCTCGTCCAGCAGCACGATGGGCCTATAGGCCGCGACCGAATCGGCAGGCCGTCCCGGCTTCCTCAATAGGACCAGCTTCCCGCTCTTCCAGCACTCAGGGAAGCGTCCCGACGCCAAGCTAGCGTCGAACACCTCCCCGAGGCGGTCTGCCATGTGGTTGAGGGCCAGGGCCAGCACTCGGGCCGGTACCCCGTCTGGCCCAGGGGCGGTGTTCTTGGAACGGATCCGTAGAACAGCCGCCCCTACCTCCGAT